AGGTACTGGGCTTTGTTCAGTAGACTCTCCTCTACAGTTCCATTTTGGCGGGAAGCCTTAGCATTGAACTGTTGTGTTGCTAAAGTGTGAAGTATGGAAGCCTGCACAGACGGTCGGTCAATGCGACTTAAGCAATGTGCAGCCATTGAATTCTTGACAGCAGAAGGTGACACTCCACAGGAGATTCCTCAGAGAATGCAAGTGATCATGGTGATTGTGTTGATGTGAATACTGTGTGTAGTTGGGCGAGTGAGTATAAAGATGTTGAGGTGGGAACATCTGACTTGCGTGGGAACATCTGACTTGCATCTGACTTGCATGAAACTCGGTGGTTGCTGTCACAGGACGTCCAACTCTTTGTTTGAGTTGGACGTCCTGTGACAGCCACCAAGTTTCACAATCAAAACGTTGACAGATTGATTCAGGATGATCATCGTATCGCTCAGAAAAAATTTCAAGCATAATCAGCATTTCACAAGAACTTTTGGGTCACATTATTGCTTTGCTTGGCTATCAGAAGATCTGTGCACAATGATTACCCAGGAGGAGAGAACTGTGAGACGCTAGTTGCGGAAACAGAGTGTCGACTTCTTCTGTGACGGCTTCAGAAAACTTGTTCATTGTTGGCAGAAATGTATCCAATGGTCTGGTGATTATGTGTGGGTCACATTATTGCTTTATTGGCTATTGGAAGATCTGTGCACGATGAGTACCCAGGATGAGAGAACTGTGAGACGCTGGTTGCGGAAACACAGTGTCGACTTCTTCCGTGACGGCTTCAGAAAACTTGTTTCTTGTTGGCAGAAATGTATCCAATTGTCTGGTGATTACGTGGGGAAGTGAATAGTGCTCGTTAAAGAGCACATTCTAAGGATTATTTCTGCGTTTGGTTTATTAAAATATTCCCATCCAAATCCAAGTAACGAAGGTGGAGGCATTACTTTTCATTCAACCCTCGTAATATGGTTTGACACTCCTTTGACTGCCGTGTCTCCATGCTATGGAACTGGTGAATTTGGTGCGGCCTCAGCACTCTCTGGCAGAGAAGGCTAACGACCCTGCAAAACTCCAACTCCTCCGATTGCATTAACTTAGATGCCCCCCAATGTGTAACCTGAAAGCTCATATACTCCAATATTAATGGGAGTCCATTTCAAGATATTATTTCTGCAGTGTAGATGTACCCTAAGTCTCTTGTAACCTGGAAGTTTGCATACTGTACGCCATCCAATAATAAGTGGAGTCCATTTCAAGATATCGTTTCGCTGAGCTTCGTATCGTCTACCTTTTGTTGGATTTGCACCAAAATTGAGGATTTTAATCTGGCGAATTTAATACCCGGTGAAGAGGATGGGTTTTCATACCTGGAAAAGGAAGTCGGTTGAAAGTTTTCCTGGAGCCACATAAGCCAGGAATAGAAACCTCTTGCAAAACTCTCCAAGTGTTATTGGACTACAACTCCCATCTATGGCTAATAATCTATGTAAATAAAAATGTAATGTAAAGAGGAAGCAATCTGTGACATCTAATCACCTCTCAACAAAAGATTGCCCCTAGCACTGCCAGACCATCAAATGCTAATCAAGGTGGTCAGTTGAAACCTTCACGCCTAGCTCCAGCAGACAAGAGTCCTTTGTCCCACCCTGATCATTCCACAGATGTATAAACCCATTTTCCTAGTTCCAACAGACTTCACAACCTCTGAGGATGCTTGCCTTAGATGCAGGCGAAACGTCAGGAGAGAATGCCTCTAGAACATGGCCATATAGCCCGAAAAAACCTGCTACAACCCAATGTAATCATAGAATCATAGAATCAAAGAGTTGGAAGAGACCTCCTGGGCCATCCAGTCCAACCCCATTCTGCCAAGAAGCAGGAATGTTGCATTCAAATCACCCCTGACAGATGGCCATCCAGCCTCTGTTTAAAAGCTTCCAAAGAAGGAGCATCCACCACACTCCGGGGCAGAGAGTTCCACTGCTGAACGGCTCTCACAGTCAGGAAGTTCGTTTGTAGGATTAACATAACTCAAAAACCACTGGACGAATTGACACCAAATTTGGACACAAGACACCTAACAACCCAATGTATGTCCTTCACACAAAAAATTGATTTGTAATTTGGGAGTTGTAGTTGCTGGGATTTATAATCCTACAATCAAAGAGCATTCTGAACCCCACCAACGATGGAACTGAACCAAACTCAGCACACAGTTCTCCCATGACCAACAGAAAATACTGGAAGGGTTTGGTGGGCAGTGTCCTTTGGTTTTGGAGTTGTAGTTTACCTACATCCAGAGATCACTGTGGACTCAGACAATGATGGATCTGGACCAAACTCTACAAGAATACTCAATATGCCCAAATGTGAACACTGGTGGAGTTTGGGGAAAATAGAATCTTGACATTTGGGAGTTGTAGTTGCTGGGATTTATAGTTCACCTACAATCACAGAGCATTCTGAACCCCGCCAATGATGGAATTGGGCCAAACTGCGAAGTAGCAAATGAGGTAAAAGGATGAAATGATTTGGTAAACAAGTTGTTAATGTTTTATGTTAGCCTATTCAGCCGATGATTGTGTCTGATATTCATGATGTGAATGGGGATGATGTTCCTGATGGTGGGCCTGGGTCTGTTGGCAATGGGGATGAGGGTTTGCCTGGGCCTGAGTTAGACGAGAGGCTCGAGCTGTCTCGGGAAGATTCACAAGGCCACATTCCTGGGAACGGCCCTTCACAGTCTTTCTCAGAGCAACTGTCTGAAGATGATTTGTCAGGTGCAGAAGTTAATGAAAGTCAACAAGAGTGTAGATAGAAAGCAAGGCTTTTGTAAACAGAGACCAAGTGCTCAGGCACAAAGAAGATCAGTTCATTTACAGGAAAAGAGAGATAAGAAACCTTTATTTGGTGGTAAGGTCAAGAGAAATGCTTTCCTTTCTGTTTTGGGATCTGGAAAAGCTTTATATTGATTCAACAGAAGAGCGTGCTTGCTCCATCCATGTTCAACATCTACACAAATGACCAGCCACTGCCAGAAGGGACAGAGAGTTTCATCTATGCTGATGATCGTGCCATCACCGCTCAAGCAGGGAGCTTTGAGATGGTAGAACAGAAGCTCTCCGAAGCTCTAGGTGCTCTTACTGCCTATTACAGGGAAAACCAGCTGATCCCTAATCCATCTAAAACACAGACATGTGCTTTTCACCTTGAGAACAGACAAGCATCCTGAGCTCTGAGGATTACCTGGGAAGGAATCCCACTGGAGCATTGCAGCACACCCACATACCTGGGAGTCACTCTGGACCGTGCTCTTACCTACAAGAAGCACTGCCTGAACATCAAGCAAAAAGTGGGTGCTAGAAACAATATCATACGAAAGCTGACTGGCACAACCTGGGGATCACAACCAGGCACAGTGAAGACATCTGCCCTTGCGCTTGCTACTCTGCTGCTGAGTATGCATGCCCAGTGTGGAACACATCTCACCATGCTAAAACAGTGGATGTGGCTCTTAATGAGACATGCCATTATCACGGGGTGTCTGCGCCCTACACCACTGGAGAAATTACACTGCTTAGCCGGTATTGCACCACCTGACATCCGCCGGGAAGTAGCAGCCAATAGCGAAAGGACCAAGGCAGAGATATCTCCAGCTCATCCCCTGTTTGGGTATCAGCCAGCACGTCAACGCTTGAAATCTAGAAATAGTTTTCTAAGATCTACAGAGATACTCGCTGGAACACCTCAGCAAGCGAGAGTCCAAAAGTGGCAGGCTCAAACCCAGAACCTCAACCAATGGCTGATACCAAATGAGAGACTCCCCCCTGGGCACACAGAAGACTGGGCGACTTGGAAGGCGCTGAACAGACTGCGCTCTGGCACCACGAGATGCAGAGCCAACCTTCAGAAATGGGGCTACAAAGTGGAATCCACGACATGCGAGTGTGGAGAAGAGCAAACCACTGACCACCTGCTGCAATGCAACCTGAGCCCTGCCACATGCACAATGGAGGACCTTCTTGCGGCAACACCAGAGGCACTCCAAGTGGCCAGATACTGGTCAAAGGACATTTAAACAACTACCAAGCTTGCAAAATCTGTGTGTTTTCTGTCTGTTTGTTCGTTTAGTTAAAAATGTAATACAAATGTCTGGTTGCTCCTGACACGATAAATAAATAATGGGAAAGAGTTGCCTCAGTCGGGTCAACGTTGGGATTTTCATGATGGTCTTGCTTTCAAGTGCTCTTAGTTTCATGTACCAAGTTTTTGCCAAGCTCCAGATTTGTGTATGGCGTTTTCCTTGTTGTGGTTGACTTAAGGCAGTGCTTCTCAACCTGGGGTCCACAGATGTTTTTGGCCTACAACTCCCAGAAATCCCAGCCAGTTTACCAGCTGTTAGGATTTCTGGGAATTGTAGGCCAAAACATCTGGGGACCCCAGGTTGAGAACCACTGGTGTATGGGATTTTTCCTGAGGTCTTGTTTCGTGGATTTATGTGCCTAGTTTCATGTATTTTATGGATCTTGTTTCCTCTTGAAGCTTATGAACTATTTGATGTACAGCGTTCCCTCAAATATCATGGGTGTTATGTTCCAGGACCACCCGCAAAAAGTGAAAATCCGCAAAGTAGGGACGATATATATATATATATGTGTGTGTGTGTGTGTGTGTGATTTACATACTGATTTGTATCTCCTCTCTCTCTTTTGTTATGATTGGCCACATCTCTCCACACTCCATCGTTCTCAGGAGGCAAAACCCCGCGAAAGAGTGAATCCACGAAAAGCAAACTGCAAAGTAGCGAGGGAACACTGTATTGGAACTTTACTGTTTTTCCTACTTTTACTACTTTGCCTACATATATTCTGCAATAAACTGCTTGCTGGTTTTACCAAGCTGGTGTCGTGTTTAAGGTCAGGGGTACAACAACTAAAACCCTCTTTGGGTTGAGTGGGCAGGTTGGTAGCTGACTCTGCAGGTTGGCATCTGCCATCCCTTACCTTGATTTTGTGCAGCGACTTCTCCGCCTCCAGGATCTGCACCCAAACCACGACGCCGGACTTGTTGTAGGTCAGGTTCCATCCCTGCTCGGAGTTGCATTCTGTCCGGAAAAGTTCGAAGTCTCTATCGTCGGGGATCTGGACACTGTCCCGGGTGGACATCCCGTCGTCCGCCTCTCCGGTGGGAAAAGCCCCAGGAGCGAAAGGCGCCCAAAGGCTGGGTTTCAAGAAGGTGCTTTTGGTGCCCAGGCCCCAAACTGGAAAAGCAGGTTTGCTTGCCAGGCGGATCTGCAGAGCCAAGGCTTTGGAGGGGAGGGAATCAATCAGTCTCTTACTGTCTGGAAATGGGAGGAGGAGAGGCTTAGCCAAAAACAGCAGGTGGAGATCTGTCAGGAAAGAGGAGAGAGAGAGAAGAGGAATATTAGGGCACACGAAGCTGCCTCCCAAAAAAGAGCCTTGGGGCAAAGGCTGGCGTTAATGGAAGCTTTAGTTTGGAGAACATGAGCCTTGGAGTTGGGGAGTCTTGGGTTCTTGGAGGAAAGGAAAGAAGGATGTTTTGGAAAGAGGGGGAAAGGAAACAATAATAATATATGGCCATGTTGTGGAGGCATTCTCTCCTGACGTTTCGCCTTTCTTTCTTTCTTTCTTTCTTTCTTTCTTTCTTTCTTTCTTTCTTTCTTTCTTTCTTTCTTTCGTTCCTTTGAGAGACCTCCAGATGCAGTTCTTGGCTTCTCTCTCTTCTCCTCTATCCCAAACAGGAGATGGGTTTACTTCCTCTTTCCAAAGCTATATTATTATTGGGTTGTTGTAGGTTTTTCCGGGCTATATGGCCATGTTCTGGAGGCAATTTTTCTCCTGACGTTTCGCCTGCATCTATGGCAAGCATCCTCAGAGGTAGTGAGGTCTGTCGAAGGCTTTCATGGCCAGAATCACTGGGTTGTTGTAGGTTTTTTTGGGCTATATGGCCATGTTGTGGAGGCATTCTCTCCTGACGTTTCGCCTGCATCTATGGCAAGCATCCTCAGAGGTAGTGAGGTCTGTTGGAACTAGGAAAAAGGGTTTATATATCTGTGGAATGACCAGGGTGGGACAAGGAACTCTTGTCTGCTGGAGCTAGGTGTGAATGTTTCAACTGACCACCTTGATTAGCATTTGATGGCCTGGCAGTGCAGGTTCATAGAGATTTGGGGTTGGAGAAGGAGAGTCCTTGGAGAGAAGGCAAGGAGAAGAATGCTTAGGAAATCTGTTGTTTTGCTGTTTTAACTTTAGAGTTTTGTAATACTGTAACTCTAAAATTAAAACAGCAAAACAACAGAGGGAAAACAATCAGGGACATCTAATCACCTCTCAACAAAAGATTGCTCCAGGCACTGCCAGGCTATCAAATGCTAATCAAGGTGGTCAGTTGAAACATTCACACCTAGCTCCAGCAGACAAGAGTTCCTTGTCCCACCCTGGTCATTCCACAGATATATAAACCCTTTTTCCTATTTCCAACAAACCTCACTACCTCTGAGGATGCTTGCCATAGATGCAGGCAAAACGTCAGGAGAGAATGCCTCCACAACATGGCCATATAGCCCGAAAAAACCTACAACAACCCAGTGATTCTGGCCATGAAAGCCTTCGACAATAATAGTATAGCTTTGGAAGGAGGAAGTAATCCCATTTCCTGTTTGGGATGGAAGAGAAGAGAGAGAAGCCGAGAACAGCAGGTGGAGGTCTCTCAAACTAAAGAAAGAAGGAAGGAAGGAAGAAAGGAAGGAAGGAAGGAAAGAAGGAAGAAAGAGAAAAGGAATGCAAACTGGACCCAGACATCTAAAGCGCCTGGAGGGAAAGGCTTGCCTTCAACTGAGGCATATGGAGGTTGGAGAAAAGGGAGCCGCAAGGATGGGGAGACTCTGGTTCTTGGAGGAAGAAAAAAAAACGCATTATTATTATTATTATTTTGCTTTATCTCCCTCGAGGGGGACTCAAGATAGCTCTGGAAAGAGGAAATAAAATCAATTTATTCCTGTTTGGGAATAAATTTCTTCTTCTTTCCTTCCTTCCTTCTTTCCTTCCTTCCTCTTCTCTTCCTTCCTTCCTTCCTTCCTTCCTTCTTTCTTTCCTTCCTTCCTTCCTTCCTTCCTTCTCTTCTTCCTTCCTTCTTTCCTTCATTCTTTCCTTCTTCTTCCTTCTCTTTCTTCTCCCCCTCCTTCCTTCCTTTTCCTTCCTTCTTCCTTCTTCTTCCATTCTTCCTTCTGTCCTTCCTTCCTTCCTTCCTTTCCTTCCTACCTTCCTTCCTTCCTTCTTTCATCCCTCCCTCCCTCCCTTCATTCCTTCTTTCTTTCTTTCCTTCCTTCCTTGCTTCTTTCCTTCTTTCCTTCCTTTCTTCTTTCCTTCCTTCTTTCTCCTTCCTTCCTTCTTCCTTCCTTCCTTCCTTTTTTCTCCTTCCTTCCTTCTCTCTCCTTCTTTCCTCCTTTCCCTTCCTTCCTTCCCCTTCCTTCCTTCCTTCCTTCTTCCTTCCTTCCTTCCTTCCTTTCTTTCCTTTCTCCTTCCTTCCTTCCTTCCTTCCTTCCTTCCTTCCTTCCTCTTTCCTTTCTCCTTTCCTTCCTTCCTTTTCCTTTCTTCCTTCTTTCCTTCCTTCTTCTCCTCCTTCCTTCTTCCTTTCTTCCTCTTCCCTTCCTTCCTTCTTCCTTCCTTCCTTCTCTCCTTTCATCTTCCTTCCTTCCTTCTTTCTTTATTTCCTTCCTTCTCCTTCCTTCCATCTTTCCTTTCCTTCCTTCTTTCCTTCCTTTCTTCCTTCCTTCCTTCCTTCCTTCCTACTTCCCTTCCTTCCATCTTTCCTTTCTTTCTTTCCTTCTTTCCTTCCTTCCTTCCTTCCTTCCTTCTCTCCAAGGACCAAGAAAGAAAAACGCAGTATTATTATTATTATTATTATTATTATTTGTATTTATACGTCATTTTTTCTCCCCTGAAGGGGACTCCCAAGTAGCTCTGGAAAGGGGAAATAAAATCAATTTCCTCCTGTCTGGGAATGGAGGAGAGGCAGAAGCCTGGATGTGTCCAAAAGAAGGAGAGAAAAGGAGGATTGGTGGCACCAGGCTGGAGCCTCCCTCTCTCTGTCTCTGCCTCCCAAGAAGAGGCTGGCCTTAAGGCTTCAGGTGGGAGAAAGAGAACCTGGGAATGGGAAGAAGGAAAGGAAGGAGGGGCCAAACAGGGGCCCCAAAAGCACCTCGGGGCAGAGCCTTCTCTCCAATGCAGGCTCATAGAGGTTTGGGGTTGGAGAAGGAGAGTCCTTGGAGAGAAGGCAAGGAGAAGAACGCTTTGGAAAAGAGGAAATAAACCCAATCTCTGGGTGAGAGGAGAAGAGGAGGCAGAAGCCAAGGAAAGAGAGAGAGAAAGACCAAGAAGGAGAACCAGAGTTGGGAATATGCACCTTCATTCTTGGGAAGGAAGGAGAGAAAGGACAGCTCTCAAAAGGGAAACAGGTGTCCCCAAAGCGCCTTGGGGCAGCAGAGGGTTACCTTCAATGCAGGCTCACAGAGGTTTGGGGTTGGCATCAAGATTGTGGCGCAGCTGGCTGAGTGTCAGCTGCATTAAGATCACTCTGACCAAAAGATCATGAGTTCGAAGCCAGCCCGGGTTGGAGTGGGTTTCCAACCAATTGTGTAGCCTGTTGTCGACCTTTGCAACCCGAAAGACAGTTGCATCTGTCAAGTAGGAAAATAAGGTACCATCTTAAAGTGTGGAGAGGCTAAATTAACTGATTTATGAGGCCATAAAGGAGACTCCAGCAAAGCATTCCAGCGGGGAAGTATGCGGGGAATGCGGAAGTGCTTCATGGACGATGAAAGCGACAGATCCCCTGGAGGCCAGAAAAAGTTAAATAGCCTCTGTGTATGTCTGTATATGTTTGTATGTCAAAACTGGCATTGAATGTTTGCCATATATGTGTACACTGTAATCCGCCCTGAGTCCCCTGCGGGGTGAGAAGGGCGGAATACAAAAACTGTAAATAAATAATAATAAATAATTGGAGACGAGAGAGCCTTTTGGTCCGTGGAGAGAAGGAAGGATGGAAGAATAAGGGGAAGTGTGTGAGAAAAAGCAAGGGAAGAAATGAAGGAGATAATGAAGGGAAGGGAAAGGAAGGAAGAAGAGGGAGAAATATGTGAGGAAAAAGCAAGGGAAGAAGGGAAAGAGTAAGGAAGGAAGGAAAGGAAAGGAAAGGAAAGGAAAGGAAAGGAAGAGGAAGGAAGGAAGGAAGGAAGGAAGGAAGGAAGGAAGGAAGGAAGGAAGGAAGGATGGGAGGAGAGAGAAGGAGAACCAGAGTTTGGAACAAGCGCTTTTATTCTTGGGAGGGAAGGAAGGAGAGAAAGGCAAGGCCAAAAAGGCTCCTCTCCAAAGGGAAACAGATGTCCCCAAAAGAGCTGAGGGCAGAGCCTTCCCTTCAATGCAGGCTCATTGAAGATTGGGGTTGGAGACAAGAGACCCTTTTGGTCCTTGGAGAGAAGGAAGGAAGGAAGGAAGGAAGGAAGGAAGGAAGGAAGGAAGGAAGCAAGCTTTGGAAAAGAGGAAATAAGCCCAATATCTGGATGAGAGGATGCAGAAGGCAAGAAGAGCCAGAAAAATGAACGAAGCTGGAGGCTTTTGGTCCTTGGAGAGAAGGAAGGAAGAAAAGAAGAATGAAAGAATAATGAAATAATTAGGAAAGACGGATGCTTCGGAAAAGAGGAAAGAAAACCAAATTCCAGACGAGAGGAGAAGAGGAAGTAGAAGGCAAGAATAGACAGAGAAAGGAACAAAGCTGGAGGCTGGTTTCTTCTGTCTTAGAGGAAAAACTTTGGGGCAAAGAACCAGGTTTCAGGAGAGAGAAGGAAAACCAGAGTTTGGAGCAAGAGCCTTCATTCTTGGGAGGGAGGGAAGGGAGGAAGGAGAGGAAGGAAAGAAGGAAGAAGAGAAAAGCAAGGCCAAAAAGGCTCCTCTCTCCAAAGGGAAGCAGGTGCCCCAAAAGCACCAGAGGGCAGAGCCTTCCCTTCAACCCAGGCTCAGAGAGGTTTGGGGTTGGAGACAAGAGAGACTTTTGGTCCTTGGAGACAAGGAAGGAAGGAAGGAAGGAAGGAAGGAAGGAAGGAAGGAAGGAAGGAAGGAAGGAAGGAAGAGAAAAGAAAAGGAGATTTGGAAAAGAGGAAATAAGCCCAATCTCCAGATGAGAGGAGAAGAGGAAGCAGAAGCCAAGAAGAGACAGAAAAATAAACGCAACTGGAGGCTTTTGGTCCTTGGAGAGAAGGAATAAAGGAAGAACGAAAGAAGAAGGAAAGATGGATGCTTTGGAATAGAGGAAATAAACACAAACTGCAGATGAGAGGAGGAGAAGCGGAAGCAAGCCAAGAAGAGACAGAAGAAGGCAGGAAGCTGGTTCCTCCTGTCTCAAGAAAAACACTTTGGGGCAAAGAACCCGGTTTCAGGAGAGAGAAGGAGAAGCAGAGTTTGGAGCAAGTGCCTTCATTCTCGGGAAGGAAGGAAGAAAGGAGAGGAAGGAAAGAAGGAAGAAGAGAAAGGCAAGGCCAAAAAGGCTCCTCTCTCCAAAGGGAAACAGATGCTTTGGGGGCAGAGCCTTCCCTTCAATGCAGGCTCATTCAGGATTGGAGTTGGAGACAAGAGAACCTTTTGGGGCACCTGTTTACTTTTGGAAAGGAGCCTTTTCGGCCTCACTTTTCTCTCCTTTCCTCCTTCGCAAGAATGAAGGTGCTTGTTCCCAACTCAGGTTCTCATTCTCTGCCCCAAAGTTCTTCCTTTGAAGCCTTTCTCTCTCTCTTTCCTTGGCTTCTGCCTCCTCTTCTCCTCTCACCCGGAGATTGGGTTTAATTCCTCTTCTCCTTGCCTTCTCCAACCCCAAACCTCTACGAACCTGCATTGGAGAGAAGGCTCTGCCCCGAGGTGCTTTTGGGGCACCTGTTTGGCTCTTCCTTTCTTTCCTTCTTCCCATTCCCAGGTTTTCTTTCTCCCACCTGAAGCCTGAAGGCCAGCCACTTCTTGGGAGGCAGAGACAGAGAGAGGGAGGCTCCAGTTGGTGCCGCCAATCCTCCTTTTCTCTCCTTCTTTTGGACACATCCAGGCTTCTGCCTCTCCTCCATTCCCAGACAGGAAGAAATTGATCTTATTTCCTCTTTTCAGAGCTACTTGGGAGTCCCCTTCCGGGGAGAAAAAGCAAGGTATCAATACATATAATAATAATAATAATAATAATAATAATAATAATAATAATACTGTGTTTTTCTTTCCTGGTCCTTGGAGAGAAGGAAGGAAGGAAGGAAGGAAGGAGGAAGGAAGGAAGAAGGAAGGAAGGAAGGAAGGGAGGAAGGAAGGAAGGAAGGAAGGAAGGAAGGAAGGAAGAAAGAAAGGAAGGAAAGAAGGAAGGAAGGAGGGAAGGAAAGAAAGAAGGAAGGAAAGAAGGAGGGAAGAAAGGAAAGAGGGAAGGAAGTAAAGAAGGAAGAAAGGAAGGGAGGAAGGGAGGAAAGGAGGAAAGAAGGAAGGAGGGAAGGAAGGGAGGAAGGAAGGAAAGAAGGAAGGAAGAAAAGAAGGAAGGGAGGGAGGAAGGAAAGAAGGAAGGAAAGAAGGAGGAAAGAAGGAAGGAGGGAAGGAAGGGAGGAAGGAAGGAAGGAAAGAAGGAAGGAAAGAAGAAAAAGGAAGGAAAGAAAGAAGGAGGAAAAAGGAAGGAAGGGAAGAAGGAAAGAAGGAAGGAAGGAAGGAAAGAAAGAAGGAAAGAAAGAAGGAAAGAAGGAAGGAAGGAAGGAAGGAAGGGAAGGAAGGAAGGAAGGAAGGAAGAAAGAAAGGAAGGAAAGAAGGAAGGAAGGAGGGAAGGAAAGAAAGAAAGAAGGAAGGAAAGAAGGAGGGAAGAAAGGAAAGAGGGAAGGAAGTAAAGAAGGAAGAAAGGAAGGGAGGAAGGGAGGAAAGGAGGAAAGAAGGAAGGAGGGAAGGAAGGGAGGAAGGAAGGAAAGAAGGAAGGAAAGAAAGAAGGAAGGAGGAAGGAAGAAGGAAGGAAAGAAGGAAGGAGGGAAGAAGGGAAGGAAGGAAGAAGGAAGGAAGGAAGGAAGGAAGGAAGGAAGGAAAGAAGGAAAGAAGGAAAGAAGGAAAGAAGGAAGGAAGGAAGGAAAGAAGGAAAGAAGGAAAGAAGGAAAGAAGGAAAGAAGGAAAGAAGGAAGGAAGGACACAATCTAGAATCCTAGCATTGGAAGAGACCTCGTGGGCAATCCAACCCCATTCTGCCAAGAAGCAGGAAAACCGCCTTCAAAGCACCCCCGAAAAGAGGAACTAAACCCAATCTCCGGATGAGAGGAGAAGAGGAGGAAGCAGCCAAGGAAGGAAGGAGGAAAAGAGGAGTGTGAGGAAGAAAGCAGGGAGCTGGAGGCCGGTTTCTTCTTCCTCCAAGGAAGCGCTTCGGGGCAAAGAGAGAGAGAGGAGACCCCGAGTAGGGGAGGAAGGAAGAAGAGAAAGGCGAGGCCGGAAGACCCCTCTGGGGAGGGAAACCGGAGGAGCCCCAACCCCACCCGCGCCCCGGAGCAGAAGGTGACTTCCTTACCTTTGGAGAGGATGTCGGTGCGAGAAAGAGAGCCTCGGAGTTGGTTCTTGGCGAAGGAAGGAAGGGAGGGAAGGAAGAGAGGGACCGAAGGAAGGAAGGAAGGAAGGAGCTGCCCCAAAAGAGGTGCGTGTCCTGGAAGGAGGAGGAGGAAGAGGAGGAGGAGGAGGCGACAGGTGAGTCACCGGAGAGGGAGGGGCCGGCAGGTGCAGCGAGGGAGGGAGGGAGAGAAGGAGAGAGAGAGAGACAGAGAGAGAGAAAGAGAGAAGGAGGGAGTCGGCGCGGCTGGCAAATCCCGAAGCGGGTGCTGCTGATGCTGCTGCTGCTTGGGGAAGCTCTCTCTCCTCCCTCCTCTCCCCCTCCCCCTCAGGGAAGGGGGGCGTTGGGTGGGGGAGGGGGATGGGGAGAGGAGGGGGAGGGCTTGGAAGAGGAAGAGAGGAAGAAGGGGCTCGCCAGGAGGAGGAGGAAGAGGAGGAAGAGCATCAGTTCGGACTGCAGCCCGGGGGAGGGGGTGCTGCCTCCCTGGCTCCCCTTCTGCCTTGGCCCCTCCCCTCTCCCCCCCCCCCTCTCTCCCTCCCCGCCGCCCTCCCGCGGGGTCCTACCGCCCTCCGGTTCTCCCTCTGCAAGGAGAAGGGGCCAAACAGGGCTCCCTTTGCTCACTCTCTCTCCCTCTCTACCCACGGTCGCAGGAAGAAAGGCGCTTCCAGCCCACCTGAGTAGCTGCCCTGGCTTCATGCCATGGCGTCCTGAGAAGGCTTCTTTGGTAAAGTCTTTTTGGGTTGTTGTAGGTTTTTTCGGGCTGTATGGCCATGTTCTAGAGGCATTCTCTCCTGACGTTTCGCCTGCATCTATAGCAAGCATCCTCAGAGGTAGTGAGGTCTACTGGAACTAGGAAAAAGGGTTTGTATTCTGCCAACCTAGCAGTTCGAAAACATGCAAATGTGAGTAGATCAATAGGTACCGCTCTGGCGGGAAGGTAACGGCGCTCCATGCAGTCATGCCAATGGCCACATGACCTTGGAGGTGTCTACGGACAACGCTGGCTCTTCGGCTTAGGGATGGAGATGAGCACCACACCCCAGAGTCAGACATGACTGGACTTGATGTCAGGGGACTACCTTTACCTTTTTATATCTGTGGAATGACCAGGGTGGGACAAAGGACTCTTGTCTGCTGGAGCTAGGTGTCCAACAGACCTCACTACCTCTGAGGATGCTTGGCATAGATGCAGGTGAAACGTCAGGAGAGAATGCCTCTAGACCGTGGCCATACAGCCTGAAAAAACCTACAACAACCCAGTGATTCCAGCCATGAAAGCCTTCGACAAAGTCTTTTTGCCTTCTTGGTGCCTCCTCACCAAAGTGCACACCCCCCCCCCCCCCCCCCCCCCCCCGTGGAAGAAAGACCACCTTGAAGTGGCAAAATATAGGCTAGCACAGGCATGGGCCACCTTGGGGCCTCCCTCCAGGTGTTTTGGACCTCAGCTCCCACCATTCCCAGCAGCCTCAGGCCCTCAGGCTTAATCATCATCATCATCATCATCATCAGGTTCTTGTGGGTTTATATACAGCCATGATCTAGAGGCATTCTCTCCTGACATTTCGCCTGCATCTATAGCAAGCATCCTCAGAGGTTGTGAGGTCTGTTGGAAGTAGGAAAATGGGTTTATATATCTGTGGAATGACCAGAGTGGGACAAAGGACTCTTGTCTACTGGAGCTATGTGGGAATGTTTCAACTGGTCACCTTGATTAGCATACAATGGCCTGACAGTGCCTGGAGCAAACTTTTATTGGGAGGTGATTAGATGTCCTTGTTTGTTTCCTCTCTGTTGTTGTGCTGTTGCAATTTTAGAGTTTTTTTAATACTGGTAGCCAGAGAATAAAGATGAAGATCCACCCAGGTCCCAGAGGGAAAGTGTTCTTGCCAGACATCAAGGGAACCCCTGACCGCAGAGGGAAGCTGAGGAGGAAACACAACATACAAACTATCTACAGACCCACCAAGGAAATCCAACAAATGCTCCGTTCAGCAAAGGACAAGAGGGATCCTCTCACTTCTGCAGGAGTCTACCATGTACCATGCAGCTGTGGACAAGTCTACAGAGGGACCACCAAACGCAAATGTGGACCATTTCCGCTACCTTGGCAGCCACCTCTCCACCAAAGTCAACTTCGACGCCGAAATACAACACCGCCTGAGCTCTGCAAGTGCAGCATTTTCCAGAATGAAGCAGAGAGTGTTTGAGGACCGGGACATCCGTAGGGAGACCAAGGTGCTTGTCTATAAAGCTATTGTCCTCCCAACCCTGCTCTATATGCCTGTGAGACGTGGACTGTCTACAGACGTCACATGCAACTCCTGGAATGATTCCATCAGTGCTTCCTCCGGAAAATCCTGCAAATCTCTTGGGAAGCAAGCGGACAAACGTCAGCGTGCTGGAAGAAGCAAAGACCACCAGCATTGAAGCGATGGTCCTCGCCATCAACTCCGCTGGACCGGCCACGTTGTCCGGGTGCCTGACCACCGTCTCCCAAAGCAGTTGCTCTACTCTGAACTCAAGAACGGAAAATGGAATGTTGGTGGACAGGAAAAGAGATTTAAAGATGGGCTCACAGCCAACCTTAAAAACTCTGGCATAGACACTGAGAACTGGGAAGCCCTGGCCCTTGAGCGCTCCAGCAGGAGGTCAGCTGTGACCAGCAGTGCTGCAGAATTCGAGGAGGCATGAGTGGAGGGTGAAAGAGAGAAACGTGCCAGGAGGAAGGTGCGTCAAACCAACCCCAACCGGGACCGCCTTCCACCTGGAAACCAATGCCCTCACTGCGGAAGAAGATGCAGAGCAAGAATAGGGCTCCACAGCCACATACGGACCCACAAGGAAACCCATGATGGAAGACCATCTTACTCGTCCAACGAGGAGTCTACCATGTACCATGCAGCTGTAGACAAGTCTACATAGGGACCACCAAACGCAGCACCCAGACACGGATCAAGGAACAGGAAAGGCACTGCAGACTACTTCAACCAGAGGAGTCAGCCATAGCAGAGCACCTGATGAACCAACCTGGACACAGCATTTTATTTGAGAACACAGAAATGCTGGACCACTCTCACAACCACCATGTCAGACTACACAGAGAAGCCATTGAAATCCACAAGACATGTGGACAATTTCAACAGAAAGGAGGAAACCATGAAAATGAACAAAATCTGGCTACCAGTATTAAAAAAAAACCCTCTAAAATTACAACAGCACAACAACAGAGAGGAAACAAACAAGGACATCTAATCACCTCCCAACAAAAGTTTGCTCCAGGCACAGTCAGGCCGTTATTGGACTGGATTTGGACTGCTTTGGATGATGATTTTAATTCTGGTGATTTTAATCTGGCAAGTGGGTTCTTAATGCATATTTAGAACTATTTTAATTTTGTGGATGTATTTATTATTATGTTTGGCATTGGATTGTTGCCTGTTTGTAAGCTGTTCTGAGTCCCTCCACAGAAGTCGAGGACAGGGTATCAATGTTTTAACTAAAATAAAATAAAATAAAATACATCGGGAGACCCACACTTGGTGAACACTAAAGAGCACTAACTACGGTGTAAAACAATTGCAGTTGGAACTCTGTCTCCACAGATTCTTCATGCATGGATTCAACGGCCCTTTGAAGGCAACTATTATAAGGCTGACGTGGCCTTGGATGAAAATGAGTTGGCACCCCTGGCACACGTGCACTCAAATCAGTTCATGGACTGCTTTTTCAAGGAAGGAGGAAGAGAGTATCATGATGTTTCAGAAGAGCCTGGTCCCAGCTGGGTACTTGGCACCTTAAACAGGAAACAAAAGATCAAAGGGTTGTTGTAGGTTTTTTCGGGCTTGCCATAGATGCAGGCGAACGTCAGGAGAGAATGCCTCTAGAACATGGCCATATAGCCCGAAAAAACCTACAACAACCCAGTGATTACGGCCATGAAAGCCTTCAACAAAAGATCAAAGCTTGCAAACAGCTTTTCCTACCAGGTGAAAATCATATTGCGTACCAAACACCTGCTTGCACCTCCTGCACCTCCCGATCTCTGAGGATTATTACCTGGGAAGGAATCCCACTGGAGCATCGCAGCACACTGAAATACCTGGGAGTCACTTTGGACCGTGCTCTGACCTATAAGAAGCACTGCCTGAACATCAAGCAAGAAGTGGGCGCTAGAAACAATATCATACGAAAGCTGACTGGCACAACCTGGGGATCACAACCAGACACAGTGAAGACATCTGCCCTTGCGCTATGCTCCTCTGTTGCTGAGTACGCATGCCCAGTGTGGAACACATCTCACCACACTAAAACAGTGGATGTGGGTCTTAATGAGACATGCCGCATTATCACAGGGTGCCTGCGCCCTACACCACTGGAGAAATTACACTGCTTAGCCAGTATTGCACCACCTGACATCCGCCGGAAAGTAGCAGCCAATAGTGAAAGGACCAAGGCAGAGACATCTCCAGCTCATCCCTTGTTTGGGTATCAGCCAGCACGTCAACGACTTAAATCAAGACATAGTTTTCTTAGATCTACAGAGACACTCACTGGAACACCTCAGCAAGCGAGAGTCCAAAAGTGGCAGGCCCAAATCCAGCACCTCAATCCGTGGTGATACCAGATGAGAGACTCCCCCCTGGGCACACAGAAGACTGGGTGACTTGGAAGGCGCTGAACAGACTGTGCTCTGGCACCACGAGATGCAGAGCCAGCCTTAAGAAATGGGGCCACAGGGTGGAATCCACGACATGCGAGTGCGGAGAAGAGCAAACCACTGACCACCTGCTGCAGTGCACCCTGAGCTCCGCCACATGCACGATGGAGGACCTTCTTGCGGCAACACCAGAGGCATTCCAAGTGGCCAGATACTAGTCAAAGGACATTTAATCAAGTACCAAACTTGCAAAATCTGTGGTTTTTCTGTTTTTTTGTTTTAAATCTGTTTGTTTGTTTTCTTCTGTTAGAAATGTAATACAATGGTATGGTTGCTGATGACACGATAAATAAATAACCTCCTGCAAGCTTTGGGGACTTGTTCTGCATCTGCACTGTAGAATGAGTTGTCTTTTTGCATGCCTTCTCTGCCAAACAGTTCTGGAACCTCACCAAACTACAACTCCCAGGGTCCCATAGCATTGAGCCAGGGCAGTCCAAGTGGTGCCAAACTGCATCCATTCTGCAGTGTAGATGCACCCTTGAGTATGAAGAAATCCACAGTAAAATGCATCCCTTCTGTATCCAGAGGCTTAAGTCCTGATCTTCCAATG